ATGTATTAATAATACATATTCAAGTAAATGCGTACAGCAGGCTGTATAATAAACTTTCAATCTTTATCATAAATTATAACTCATATTTAATTCTATTAGTATATGTATGAGCTATTGGTATCGTATAACTATGGTTTTCACGCTAGCGTTTTATAATTGTTGAAATATTACCACAGAAATCGCAGAATCTGTTAAAACCCGAGAGAGAAGTCGCCTCAACATTCATCCTCACTTGTTTTATTAACTGCATTTCGCTTTTATCCGACAATGATGTCACCTTTATATAGGCTATACATTTTTCTTCCATTGTTTTTTGTCCCGAATCAATTGCAATTTAGTTTACAAAGAGCGTGGAATTCGTAAGGTGCGAGCGTTAGTCAACTTTCGACATGACGTCATTTCTAGTTGGTTCTCGTTTCCCGCAAGATTAGTCAATAAGCCAAACGCACTGATGGAAAGGCAAGGTGGACCCGGTGATGTCATAGATGCAGAGGAGGTAGACTCATACATGGAGATGAGGTTTAGTCACACATACCACCGTTCTGTGTCAGTATGTCTAGTTTGAGCATCAGCATTTTGGTTAATGGATCGGACTGCAGTTTTTTTTTTCCTCCCCCTACAGCTTCAATCCACCTGCACCGTTTCCAATTATCGAACGTGAAATTGATACCTTGTATATCCCGAAAGACTAAATGATGGCAGATGTATATAAGCGATGGTCACCTCCGATAAATTTCTCAGTAGTTCAGATTAGAATCTGAACTCTGTAAAAGTTTGTTTTACGAATTTGGGATGGCGGCTCTTGATGAAAAAACAGCCCTAATATTTATCGTTTCAGTATAGAGGGGTTATTATGAGAAAATGGATGAGATGGGAACTTTTTACTACAGAAACAACAGTTACTATGGTTGAGAGACTAAATGTCAAAAAATTGATAGGAGGTCGTGTTTCGCTACAACGGATATTTACAGAAATGCACGAAAGTCTAGTTATTTGTTTATAATGAAAAATCAAGAATATAACCGTATTTTTTTAAAGTCGAAATTCATTCTTGAAGTATTTTTAAATTTGAAATTTTTTAATATTCCCCTTAACGACACTCTACGTAGATGTGTAATTGATTCTAATACATAGTTATTTCCTATAATTAGCTTTTGTTAAAAAGATATATAACAAATAAACGATGAACCAATTATTAGAAAAGCATAACAATTATTGACATAAGGTATTTAAATTATAATTAATATACAGTCGACCCCCCCATAACACTGTTGATAATTCCGTTTTATATGAATTCCATGTTGTACGAGTCACTTAAATTTTACAAATACGTGTGCCGGGCTGTGAACGGCTCACGTATTTGTAAAATTTAAGTGACTCGTACAACATGGAATTCATATAAAACAGAATTATCAACAGTGTTATAGGGGGGGTCGACTGTATATTAATTATAATTTAAATACCTTATGTCAATAATTGTTATGCTTTTCTAATAATTGGTTCATCGTTTATTTGTTATATATCTTTTTAACAAAAGCTAATTATAGGAAATAACTATGTATTAGAATCAATTACACATCTACGTAGAGTGTCGTTAAGGGGAATATTAAAAAATTTCAAATTTAAAAATACTTCAAGAATGAATTTCGACTTTAAAAAAATACGGTTATATTCTTGATTTTTCATTATAAACAAATAACTAGACTTTCGTGCATTTCTGTAAATATCCGTTGTAGCGAAACACGACCTCCTATCAATTTTCTGACATTTAGTCTCTCAACCATAGTAACTGTTGTTTCTGTAGTAAAAAGTTCCCATCTCATCCATTTTCTCATAATAACCCCTCTATACTGAAACGATAAATATTAGGGCTGTTTTTCATCAAGAGCCGCCATCCCAAATTCGTAAAACAAACTTTTACAGAGTTCAGATTCTAATCTGAACTACTGAGAAATTTATCGGAGGTGACCATCGCTTATATACATCTGCCATCATTTAGTCTTTCGGGATATACAAGGTATCAATTTCACGTTCGATAATTGGAAACGGTGCAGGTGGATTGAAGCTGTAGGGGGAGGAAAAAAAAAACTGCAGTCCGATCCATTAACCAAAATGCTGATGCTCAAACTAGACATACTGACACAGAACGGTGGTATGTGTGACTAAACCTCATCTCCATGTATGAGTCTACCTCCTCTGCATCTATGACATCACCGGGTCCACCTTGCCTTTCCATCAGTGCGTTTGGCTTATTGACTAATCTTGCGGGAAACGAGAACCAACTAGAAATGACGTCATGTCGAAAGTTGACTAACGCTCGCACCTTACGAATTCCACGCTCTTTGTAAACTAAATTGCAATTGATTCGGGACAAAAAACAATGGAAGAAAAATGTATAGCCTATATAAAGGTGACGTCATTGTCGGATAAAAGCGAAATGCAGTTAATAAAACAAGTGAGGATGAATGTTGAGGCGACTTCTCTCTCGGGTTTTAACAGATTCTGCGATTTCTGTGGTAATATTTCAACAATTATAAAACGCTAGCGTGAAAACCATAGTTATACGATACCAATAGCTCATACATATACTAATAGAATTAAATATGAGTTATAATTTATGATAAAGATTGAAAGTTTATTATACAGCCTGCTGTACGCATTTACTTGAATATGTATTATTAATACATATTGTCACAGGACATAGAAACATTAACAGTACGTGCAAATACGACTTTGTGAAAATATATTCATAAGATTTGGTAAATAGCATGCATGAAATTTTCGAATAAGAATGTTAATATAGTTCCCAAATAAGAATAAACAGAAATAAATGTAAAATAATGATTTTTAAACGACAGAAAACTATTTACACCTTCTTTACATTAAGATAATTTATTAAAGAGTTTATTTAATGTTAGATAATATATTTCTATATTTCTAAATATTGCGGCATTTATTGTGTTGGAATTTAATAGGGATTTTTAATTCTACAGTCGCATTAAAAATAAAATAATAATAATAATAATGTTTACACATTCAAACTTATAATATATTAAAAATAGTGTGTATTCAAATGGCATCATTATTTTATATTAGGAATGATTATTTTAATACATAAAAAGTTAAAAATTTTGATTTCAGAAAAAAATAAATAAGGTGTTCAATTTCATTAGTCTAATTATTGTAAATTAAAAATATTTACTAATAGATTTAGGTTAATTTGTATTTTAACCGTGAAAAACTACTTAGTTTCATTAGTAATATTTAGCAATTCGTGGAAATAGGTGAAAAGATAATGATAATGAAGCGAAAAAGCTGAACTAAACTTCAATGAAGCGGATTAACAATTAGACAAAGGGCTACACTTTCTTGGATATCCCACTGTGGTTGCTACGAAAAGAATTCGGCTATTCTATATTTAAACATAACTAAAACCATATTTGGAAATAATTTGCTAAAATTTAACGATTTGCAGAATTTTTCTTCTAACAATTATTTATTCTTAATAAATCACAATAAACTTAACTTTCTATATTTAAAAATAGTATGTAAAAATCGAATATCTGGCTAATGGAGATTCGAAATAAAATTTGATTTGTAATGCAGTAAGTGTCAATTTCTGAAATATTTCAATTTATATTATAGCCTATAAAATTATAAAGAGGCTATACTATTTAAGATCGCGCATTAAAAAGCTATAAAATATGTTATAAAAATAATAAACCTTATAGGCTATATATATAAAGCACTTTTTACCTGTTATTCGTAGTCACATTTTAGTCCATACGAAAACAATGAAATTGAAAAAATTCACGATTTCATTAAAAGCTAAGAAGAATATTTATATTGTCTTATCCTGGAATTTAGATTCTGCAATTAACTCGTAAAAATTCGTTATTAATTTCTATATCTTTAAACAAATGAAAACATACTCAAAATATGCTGCTTACCTCTTAACCAACTTAACGACCGGCAAACCTATGGCACAAAGAGTTGTGCGCTGGAATGCCGGTGCATTTCGAGCCATTTAGCAAATTACACTCACAATAGATAATAAACCTGCTTAAAATCCCTTACTCTGAAGCTCGCGGCACCTTTTTTTATTTTGAGAAAGAGCGCTTTAAAGGAAACACCTTTGGCTAGTTACATGTTCACCTGCGGACCGCATTTCTCCAGTGCTGCTGCTGCTGCTAACGCTTCATTCCAGAACCGTTTGCATCCAGAGGATCTACGTAGCGATGATTCAGAGCGCGGAGCTCGGCAGTGACGCTTTTGCAATAACGTGACTAATCGCGTCTAATGTGGTCCTCTACCAAAGCGACACTTCAGCATTAGCAACAACTACCTGTACTTATGTGGAATAGAGCAATTAATTGAGATTAAACTTAGGTATACTCACCATTTCTTCCGCGTTTTGGGGTTTTCTAACGATGTTGGGAATTTTCACGCCAACTGCAAAGAAAAAAAAATATTTATTTATTTATTTATTTTCTTGATTAATGTGTTAAAACTTTTTTATTTACTTAAAAAAGATTCAACAGTTTTAGATTTTATTCAATCGATGACTAAAATTAAACTGAGTCAGTATTTTGTTTAAGATACAAAAGATCATGAAGAGGAAACTAACTAAATAAACGAGAGAGTGGGTGGAGAGACGTTCACGGTTCAAAAGCTACAAAGATTGCAAAAAGGGACAGAAGCCATTAGTTGCTAGAACTGCTCAACGGTAGTCGGTAATTCTGAACTTGACAAGAATCGAGGCGTGCGAGGTTTGTTGACAATGTGTGTCAGTTGTTTGGTGAAGAAAGCAGGCTTTGACAGTTTCTGAAGATGTAAAAGATTTCGAACATAAGTTTCCTCTTCATCCTGTCATCGATTAAACTCATTTATATGTCCGCGATATGTTTATATTTTTTCCCTTTTTCTTGACTTTTATTAATTTTAAGCACCAAAAAAAAAACCGCAGATTACTTAAATAAATGTGTTTGAATGATTTATATTAAATATTTCTTCAATTTTTTTTCACTTTTAGTGTTTAAAAATATGAAGCTGGACGAAAATTAAGTGTTTTTCTTCTTTAAATCGTCATATAAATTATTATGTGCATAATATTTTTAAAATTATTACGACTAATTATAAACATTATAAGTATATATTTTGGCATGTATGCATCTCAATTTTTATCATACTCTGCGTGATTTTACAAAATATTTGCTCTATTTTACATCCGTCTTACCTGATATATACTGTACGATTTATATCATATTTATAACTAAAACTAATTAAATGAATGTAAACTAAATAGGAACATTTGTGTTATTTTTCATCTATATATCACCTAAATTATTTTTTCTGCATAGAAAAAAGAAAAAAAAAAATATTAATACTCTATGCACTTTTTATTTCTTTCTCTAATTAACATCAATTTAAAATAATTTATTGTATGGACACAAGTATTTTTACACAAACATCAACGAATGCATACAATTTATTTAAAAATACTTTAGAACACTCACTAACAGCTTCGATGACGTCAGCGAGGAGAACACCATCCCGAACGTCGTTCTGCAAATCTTGAACGCATCTCTTATAATGTCCTCTTTCCAAATAATGATTAGCCCATTCCATATAAATCTGGAGGAAAAGGGGGAAAAAATACAAATATTTAATTATTATTATTATTACTATTATTAAATATACAACTTCATTTTTCCATTAATGATAACAGTACGAACGGATGGAAGAGATGGTAGAAAATTCGACCCTGTCAGCACTGGTGTCATTGGTTGTTCTGTGAGCCATAGCAATTAAGTGGCGCCTTACGGGTTCGAGGACAAGGTGGAGAAAGAGAGAGCGAGAGACAAGCCAACTATATATAGATTCGTTGCTAGGAATACTGGACTTACGTTATCGCGAAAACGGAAATTTTCATCCGCCAACGCACACATGATCAACATATTCCATCTATCGTGAGCATTCTTTAAAACTCACAAATCCAGTTAAATGGAAGGCGCACAAAAAAAGGAAAACACGTCTAATCTAAACCCTCGTATACAGTATAATGTGTCAACATCTCATTTTGTTTTGCTTAGGTTCGGTTTATTATAAATCTTAGATCATTTTACACAGAACTAAATATGGAATACTTAATTTAAAAGATGTAAAATTCATTAAGCAATAGACGATTAGTCGGATTTAACTTAAGCATTAATGCTTAATTAGTAGACGTGCTTAAAGCTTTCTAATTGTTATGTTCGCTAAGTGAATTAGATACAAAACTTTGAAATTATTTTACCATTTTACACTAAAACACAATCGTTATTTTAGTTATAAAAGGTTAGTTTAATGCTATAAAATTAGCAAAAAAAACTGGATTAAAATAATAGTATAAATTAGTTATTATTCGAGTCACGTGACTGGAATAATTTTGCATAAATGGCAGACAAACTTTTAAACTTTTAGCGTAAATCGTAAATGAATTGAAGTGGGGATTTTGAAACGATAAAAAGGTATAAAAAGTAGATTATAATATTACCTGAACGATAAGAAAATTGCCTTTAGAGTCATTAGAATATCTTTTCTTAATACAATCCATCCAAAACGGGGAAAAAGTGAGGAAAAAGCAGACCAACTGTACTGACGGTCTTTACACGTGCGAAACATCACGGCACGTGCCAGCATACACGATGTGATTGGTCGATTCGACAAACAGCTGACGTCGGTCGTTTGGCGTTGCTGTCATGTCGCAGGGTCAAGGATATCGGACGCGGGATCTTCTTACAATTCGAGTTAATTATTTATATAGACAAACTTTGACCCCCACACCTTAGATCGTTTTCTAACAAGATGTTATCAAAACCTAGTTTAATTACGTCATAGGGAGAGAATGAGTGGGACAGGGTCATCTGGAACAACGAAATGTTTCACAGAAAAGGGAAGAAGGGGGTCGATTATAATTGTTAAACTATCTACAAGGAACAATTCAAGAAAAAAGTTGTAAATTTTTAAAATTTCCCACGTAATATTAATAAATGAATAAAATTTAAATAAAAATATCGTTTAATAATTGGTTGTTTAAAACAGTCTATTTTTTTTTTTTTTTNTTTTTATAAATATTTAAAAAGTATCAATTCGGGTAACAGTCATCACGTGTTAGTGTTTTTCTATGTATTAAAAAAACCGATCGTTAATTGACATCTGGGCACGTAATTTTTTTTTTCTATCGCTTATTTTTTTTTAAAAATATTAATAAAATTTGCTAATTATAACATAATTAAATTTATAACGGCTGATACAAATTAATTTTAACTGCTACTATCCGTAACAAATAGGAGTCGGTAGATTAATCATGTGATACTAATTATCCAATGAAATTCTAATTTTTAAATTAATCGCTTTATAATTATAATCACGTGATAGAAAACGGAACACCCATTGGACAATGGAAAATATTTTGAAATTAATTATAATAAGGTAAATAAGAAAAATGTCACGTGAAATTATAACTAATTATTTTGGATAAATTTAAATTAGTACAGAAACTTAGACGTTTAGAGATGTTAATTTAGTAATAAAAAAGTAATTTCAACTGTGTTACCATAGGAAAATTTTTTAAACAAGATTAAGCTATTGTTCTCGTGACTGGCATCGATTTTGGTCGACTATTAACTTAACTTTTTATAGGAGTAGATAGGATTAATAGCATGAAAGGCAGATTTCCCAGAGCTAGGGGGATATCTGATTAGCTTACGTGACAAAATGTTAGGCTTTCACGCGATACGGAAGCCTTAATTTATTCACATAAAACAAAGTGAACATAAAAAAAAAAATAAAGTTTTATTATAACGATATGATAAAACAGATCTAAAATTAAGATTTTATTTCATTTTAAAAGCTTTAGAACTAAACTATTCTACTTTAAAGTAAAAAGTATAGTTTTATAGTACAAAAGGTATTTGTATGCTAGTACTGTAATACAATTAAGGCTTTTGTAACTAATAAAAGACATTAAAAGATCCAGTTCATTGAAGAAACATATTAAATAAAATATCTTTTTTAATTCTTATGGCTTGTCTGTTAGAGTTTCAAAAATGAAAAACTAATGATCAGAGATGAGAAATATAATTTAAAAATTGAAATTTTAATGAGTAAAGAAACCAACCTGATCGAAGTGCATCTTCCCAATAGGCTAAAAGAGAACATTCAACTTTTGTTTTAAAGGAAACAGCCTTATTTGGTTTTCCTAACCAAGGGCGAACGTAATGCATCAATAGTTGATTTCCTTTCTCCACACCTACGATTAATTAAGGTGTGTCCATTTCTATTTTTCTTTACAAGTAAAGTATAAAAACTCATTTTTGATCATTAAAAAAAAAACAGGAATTTTTGATATATATTTATTTATTTATTCANTTGCAAAATTAAAAGCAAGGGGAGAGAACTTCTAGAAATGGATCGTTTGTCCACAGGAAAAAAAAACAAAAAACCCATCTGATTAATTTTAGATATAAGCATATATATATATATATATATATATATATATATAAAGAACGTTTAAAGAAAAAGAAAATGCTACTAAAAATATTTTGGTTCGTAAATTTTCTGAAATGCTAAGGGATGGTGTCAGTTATCTAAAATGGTAAAGTAGTTAAGATTTTACACTTGATAAATGATGATGATGAAACCAATTCAGTTTCTATAAATCATCAAATGTAATCGAGTTGGAATTTTTGTTTTAAAATTTTAAAAACTTTTAAATGTTAAGTAGTATCTTCCCTTAATTTAAAACTACGAGATAAAATGCTTTCAAAATTAGAATATCCATTTCTTTTTTAAATATAAATCTGCTTATCATGGTTGAAAATCAAACACTTGACATTTGTGGATTAAATACAGTTCATTTTCTTAAGTTACAGACTGTGAAATTAGTTTTATTTTTCAACATCCTTTCACTGAAATTTCAATATGAATGTTTGAATTTTGCTTGAAGTAGTCTATTTTTAATTTTTGAATCATTTTTTTTTTATTTGAATGATCACAATAGCATTAGTTTAATGAATAGACTTATTATTGTTTTAAAATCAGATTTTTAAACCCAAGCCATTACAAGAAATAATTTAATCTTTTCGTGCAGTGACGTTTTTACACATTTAATTCCACAAATGTCCAATTGCCTCGGTTTTATTGACCCTGAAAATTTACTGAAGTTATTTTCACACTGCAGATGGTGTTTGTTTAAAACTGCAGAGAAACACTTCACGCCTCGAATAACTCTTTCGACTGTTTTAAATTCCGAGAGGAGATATAAGAATCAGAAAAAAAAAAAGCCGCTGTATCACATTACAAAATTTTTATTTCGATATTTATGTCGCCCCTTTGTAAATTTGAAATGTTTATAAATTTATATTTATAGATTGCTTATAGAAAAATCGAAAACTTTTAACTGAATGTTTCGTCGAAGACGTCGATTTTTAGCACGATATCTGCAAAATTATACTTTATTAAGTTATAATACAGTCGACCCCCCTATAACACTGTTGATAATTCCGTTTTATATGAATTCCATGTTGTACGAGTCACTTAAATTTTACAAATACGTG